ATCAACCAAAAAGCAGGAGCTTTCAATACTCCCAGGATTTCTATACTAATAGCAATTAATAATCAAAATGACTATTATTCATTAAATACCCGCTACTTGCCAGCCTCTTTATAAAGAATTCCTAGCTCCTGAGTCAGGATCTGACCCCAGGTTTGTTTGAGGCCATTGTCCCCATTCTTCCTCCTTAGCTATTTTGTGTAGGTTCATGTTTCCTGGACATGATCATGTCTACCCTCTGCTCGTTGTCTTTTATATAGATCAAATCATGTGTTTAGTGCATCCTCGGTAATACACTCACAGGAGAAAGCCACGGGCAAGAAGAGACTGGTGTGTCACAATGGGTGGTGAAGCTAAAAGCATCCAGACAAACAGGCCTCGATCTATAACTTACTAAACGAGCCTGACGCCCATGTAGGATGGCAGCACAGAGCCTGGCCCTCAGCAGGTACTTAATAAATGTTTGTTGGGAAATTTTTTCATAATCAGCAGAGTCCTTGGGTAAGCTTCCAATGGAACAGGGTTTCTAAATGACCTATTCTGTTATATAACATGGAGCTTGTCCGTGGAGCAGTTCCCTCACCTCACCTAAGGCACCTGGTATTTCCAGAACTTCAGAGGTGCCTCACCTTGTGTATCTTCCACTTCTTTGTTCTTCAGTCTTCCATTCTTAGTCGGTCTGGCCTGGCAGGTGCTCATTCCTTGACCCTTCCCTTCTGCACACAATGTTGCCCTGCCCCCTCTACTTGAGGCCCTCCCAATTTTCCCCGAATTTTGCTCCTGTCGACAGTTTGCAAGGTGGGGGGCAGGGCGTGTGTCAGAATCTCCAGAGGAAGCCTGGGCCATGTGAAAAAGCTTATTCAAGAACGTGATTTTATACTTGGAAACAATCAGGGGGAAAAAATTACAACTATTATCTTTGTAAAACAGAGAACTGAAAGAACATTTTGGAAGAAATCCTCTTGCCTGGCAATAATATGGCAATTCTCATATCTGGGGATGGAGGAATGACCATTTTGTGTTTATGAAAAGAAGAAGAGGTTCCAAGGAAAGGTGCTGGGCAACCCGACAGTGTGTGCTTTCCTTTCCTGTGTCCATGTCTATGTTAGTAGTGCCCTCTTTCTCAGCACTTGGACTTCTCGGAACTTGTCCTTTGCCTACTGTACAGAATCAATCACTCCATTGTGCTCCCATAATGTTTTATTCTTATCCTCTAATATGTCAGCCACCATCCTTTACCTTTATAATACAAAGCTCTGATGTAGTGCACGCTTCTGAAGGAGAATCGTGAGAGCACCCTGACCGCAAGGAGCCAGTGGGAGACCATTGTGCATGGCCCTCAAACTTCAGTGTGCTAGGAGTCGGAGTGAATTCTGGGATGTTACCCTTGGAGATTCTGAACCTCTAGAATTTGGAGCTGGGGACATCAGAAATTTAAATTTGTATATTTCTGGTTTATCAGTCACACTTTGGGAAGCACTAAAGAACTTGGGCTTAAAAAATGTCCTTCCGTGTTCTGGAAGCCAAACAAGCATTTTGATAAGGACAGCCTGGCTACATTCAGTCATTGGTTTGTGCACTCAACAGGCACTGGTTGAGAATTACCCAATGGAGTGTCATCTGTTGTAGGCGATGCTGTGCAGGAGCGGTCTCTTCTGTGGTCATGACCGCTCTCCTTTTGCCGTCTGTTGTTTCCCTTCTAGTAAGCTCAGACCCATTTGTGGGGCCCATCCTAGTCAATGTAGTAGTTAATAAGGACTTTAAAGGATGTTTTGAGGGTGCAGAGAAGAATAGTGAGGGGAAAGGAGGCTTGCATTTTAAAAGAGAATTTCAATTCCTTGGTATTTCAAGTCACGGAAGGAAAAGTGGAAGGGTTTCTTTTACTGAATTTCTATTGTGTGTCTGGCCCTTGACATGTGTTACCTAATTTAATCCTCACAATCAGCCAATGAGGTAAGGATAATTCTTCCCATTTCACAGAGGCAGAGGCTGAAGCCCATGTTATGTTACTCTCCCTAGCTGGAAACAGGTGGACCCAGGACTAGAACTTGGGACTGACTCTAAAGATCATGTTCATTCTCCTCTCCCTGGATGCCTCTGTCACCTCATTCTGCTGGCAGCCTCTGGTCTGGTCTGGAACATCCTAGTACGTGCCCTGTTTGAAGTTAAAGACTGTCCTTTGAGTTGTCCCTAAGAGTGCTGAAATTGTTCCATCGTCTTCTTAACTTCCTAGGAGTGAGTGAAAGACAACTGGGTCACTTTAGAAAGAATGCTGACCTTTAAGTGGGTATACAGATCCAAAGAAAATACAGATGCCTACTGGTTTGCTACCTTACTGCTAGTAAAGCTGCCTTCAGTTTTTTCTTCAGTTTTTCATTGTCAATATACCTCATTTCTATTTGCTCCCAACCACATGTTGGAATCTGTAAAAGGTTATTGATAACTTCTTGCTAGTCAAATTTGAGGTCTTTTTCTCAGGCCTTAGTTCCTGAACAAGAGAGTCGGATATATCTATGTTTTTCATATTTGATATGGAAGATTATTCATTTTCTGTATTTGATGTAGTGATTATTAATAGTTGAGGACATTAAGGTGCATGGAGGGGAAACATTGGCCTGTCATGCATTGGACCCTGTATTATTACTTGGTATCAATTTGAAGAGCCTAGGCTAAGTCCACTCACTCCAGTCAGCAGACTGTTGAGCCCCAAAGTGGTTACCTACCACTTCATGGGAAGTCTGGGGATCTGTGGCGCTTGATAGAGGGACCATCTCACAACTTTCTCTGGCTTCCATGCCTTCCCACCTTCCCACTCTTCTACTTCTCCAGCCTTTCCTCGTCTTCCTCCTCCTTTCCCTATTTCTCGCCCTGGACATTGTCCAAGTAAACCGATGTTCATAGCTTCATTTCTATTTTTCTCTACACCTCTGTTCTCTGCTTCTTACCCAGTTTCTTGTTCCATATTTCCTATTGCTGAGAAGACAGTAAGTATTCTAACATCTTTCTCAAACCAGTCCCTCCCCAGCCGCCAGCTTGGCTTCTTCTAGCATTCATCCAATGACCCAGTCTTCCAGGAATGGGCCATTCTTCCTATGACCCAGGCTCAAAACCTGGATTAACTTGATTACTTTGTTCTTCCTCCTATCTGGTCACCATAAAAAGTAAAATCTTGCTTCAAAGATTTGGTATCTTCCCTATATTTGATATCTTCAAAGACTTGGTATCTGCATGGTATCTTTCTCTTCCTTTCCATCTCCTTTGCTCCAACGTCCCATGTCACTGCTTCCTGTAACTATTTCCAGATTGGCTCCCTATTTCACAGGGTTATTGAAGGGTAGCTTGAAATAATAATAGCAAGTATATGTTCAGCACTTTCATGCATTATGCTAAGTTTTTCACATTTGTTACTTCATTCCATCCTTACAACCACTGTGTGATGGTTATTTCTAGTGCCTTGCAAATGAAACTGAAGTTTTGAAAAGTTAAGTGACTTGCCCAAGGTCACACAGTGTGTGGGCTGTGACTCCACCCATACCTGTTTTGTTCTAGTGGATGCTTGTAACTACTGAATTTTGCTGCGTCCTAGGATATAGTGTGTTATCTAATGGGGGCAATTAATGTCAGTTTCCTTCCTTCTTTTCCTCCTTTTCCCATCCATTACCTCTTCCTCAGACTATACTAAATTCCTACAGATGCTACCCGTGTCTGAATACCACCACTCTTCAAGGCTTTCCTTTCTCCTGCATGTAGTCAGTTCTTTTTTCCACATTTTTCAGGCTTCTCCAGTGCTTTCTGGTTTTCTGGTTGCATATCTGGTCTAAATAAATCCTTAAAAGGCCAGTTAGCTGTTGTTTCTTTTTGTGTCATTTATGTGCTATCAAGTCTTAGGGTAGCTGACTTAAAATGTAGTAGGTTTGGTAAATGATTGTTAAACTACTGGATTTGGGTTTTATCTTGAGAGCAGAGGTTACTCAGCCATCAGAGGAAGCAGAAGAATAGACTGGAATCAGGATATATAATCCACCAGAACTGACTAGAAGGGTACAGCTTCTGACTGACTAATTGGGTAATTGCCACAATCCAGGCAGGAATCCCAGAAGAAATCGTGGTCTAGTGAGAGGGCAAAGAGAGGAGAGGAGCACAAGATAAGAGGTGTGGTATGTACTGACTGTCCTGGTAACATCTTCTGCCAACTGTTCTATTCCCTGGGCTCTGCACCTCCAGAGCAGCACAGCTGGCCCCTGAGAGCCACGGAGAAATGTTATGGTCCTGTGCTTCCAGATCCCCAGATCCAGGCATCAGAGGTCTACCCAGAATAACTGAGCATAATGGGATGGGGGAGTAGGATTTCTTAATACAGCTTAATTTAAGAGGAGGGGCAGAATCTGCATCCTTTTTCCAGAGCCCCTTTCTATGCCTCCCATAGGGCAGATAACAGCCTGTGGGTTTGTGGTCACAGGATGTACAGTCTGCCAACACATTTAATATCTGAGGCTGTAAGATCGGTTTTGGCCCTTCTGCTGGTCAACTGAGTCGAAGGCTGGGGCTAGTCGCCCAATCCCAGTGCGTGATAGACGCACCAGGGCCTGGGGAACGCCAAGAGAAGTGTGGCCACTTTTCACCTGGAAATTCCACTGAAGAAGAAAGAAAAAAAAAATCCTAAACGTAACCTATCTGGACTTCGAGGGCAGACTGGGAAACCGATTTCTGCCGGAGTTGGCCTGGAGGGAAGGAAGAGAGAGCCGATGGGGGGGGGAGAGCTGTTGAGTCTGACATTAATTAAGCCGCGGCAGGGAACACAACCACGGAGGCTGTCGCCCTCCTAAACGCTCAGGGAGACACGTCAGCTCGAGCTCGGGGCAATTTCAGCGGGCGACGTCCCGGCCCGGGAGGGGTGGCGGGCGGCTGCAGGCGGGCTCTAGGGCCCAGCGGCCAGGCGCCGGGGCGGGGGTGGAGTGTAGGGTTACAGTGACGAGCCGGACGACCCTCCCCGGCCGGAGCTCGGGGAGCCGGGAGCGGGGAGCGCGGGCGGCGGCCGAGCGCGCGGGACGCTCTAGGACCCAGCAGCGGCGGGCGGTCGGCTTCGGGGCTGGAGGCGAAGCCCTGGCGTTCCTCTCCTTCCTGTGTGAATGGGGCTGACTGTCGGGCGCCGCTGCCCCGCGCTGCCCCGCGCCATGCCCTGCACGCTGCCCGGCGGCCTCCTTCCCCAGCCGCGCCACTGAGCTAGCCATGGTCGCCTCATGTGGAGGGCAAAGTTGCGCCGGGGAACTTGTGAGGCAGCCGTGAAAGGTAACCAGTCCCCGCTCCGGACGCGGGGAGGGCGCCCCCGGGTCTCCCACGCGACGGACCCAGCCTACCCGTACTGTTCCACCGCTTGCTCTCCCCCGGGCACGGGCTCTCCTTGGGGGCCCGGGGCTCAGATCTGCCCCGCTCCCCGGCGACTTGGGCAGCCGATTGGGCGCCGGGGGCCGGGAGTGTCAGCCACCGCAATCTCGCTCTTCCTTACCCAGATGTGTTAAAAAAAAAAAAAAAAAGAAGCAGCAGCAGAACTCTGTTCCCGAGCCCCGTGCAGGCCCTCGGTGCGGGCGGGTGGGATCGCCTCGCCGCCCCGCGCCCCATCCGAACCCGGGAAGTTGCGTGGGCCCGCCGGGCCGGGGCCCCGGGGTGCGGGTGCGCCCTCCGAGGCGGGGCTGGCCTTTTCTGGAGGGGCGCTGCCATATGGCTGCATTCTCCGAGACGCGCCCGCGCGCGGGTCCCCCGGCGGCCGAAGGAGGGGCGGAAGCGGGTGGCCGGTGGCCGCTGCCCTCCGCGCGAGACAAAGGCGCGCACCGGGCCCGCCCCACGGGATGCGGCGTCCCGGCGGGACCCGTCCTCCCCGCGGGGAAGTCTCGGCTCTGTCGGGTGGGGGCGGCGAAGGGGTCGCGCCCCAGACCCCGGGGCTCGGATCGCCTTAGCTGCTGCTCCTTTGTTCTCCCCAGAGAAGTTTCTTCGACAGAAGCTGGGGAGTTAGGCTCGGCTCTCCCTTGCTGTTAGTGCTGCCTTTAAAAGAATCTGGTTTCATGGGGGGGAGAAATGAAACTTTCCAAGTGGAGCTGGTTTTTCTTGGGATGTGACATTTGTGCCAGGAGGGAGAGTGGCGCGTCGGCCGATGACAGCCGAGCGGAGCGGGGAGCCCTGAGCTGGGGCAGGGGCCGAGTGCGCTCCGGAGGCTGCCGGGCTGGAGGACGAGGCGGCGGCGGAACGCACGACGCGGCGCGCGCCCTCCGCCGGGGCCCCCGCCTCGTGCGCTGAGCTCCCAGCGCGGTTTCCAAGTTTCCCCCTTAGGAGCCCAGGCGGAGACTCGCGGCTCCCGGCCCGCGGCTCCCGGCCCGCAGCTCCCGCGCCGCGCCACGCCCTGCTCTGTGGTGTCTGGATTGGTGGCTGGCTTTCCCTTTCCATTTTTGTTTGAAGGTGTTTTGCTATTTTGGCTTGGGTGTTGGTTTACTGTCTTCAGATGGCGAGTGCTATGAAAAATGCCCGGCTGGTGTACGGATCACCTGGACTGGGACTTGAGTAGACGGGCGCCCTGATCGTGCGGCCTCCTGAGGCTTTGCGGTTGGGACCGAACATTTTGTGCCCTTGGTCCCTCATCTTTGCTCAGCCCTGATAAAGTGCGGACGTGGTTGCCCATTTCCTCTTTCGAGGCATGTTATGAGAATCGAGCTTTCCAACTGCCTATGCAGTCCATGGTGATGGCGTCGGTAGGGGGCCAGGAGAGCCAGTTGTGTTACGCGAAGATGCTTTGGAACACCCCAAACAATAATATTACTTGTCATAAGCGAGTAAAACCAGAATAGAGGAATATTAATAGCTACTATTCCAAAAAACTTCCTTCCTTTTCGGGAAGTGAAAAGTCAAGGCTTGAAATGTTGAACAGTCATGGGTCCCTTCCAAACTGACTTAAGATTTCCCCTGACTGCCCCCCACTGCTGACTGCCCCCCCACTGCTGAGTGCCCCCCACTGCTGACTGCCCCCCCACTGCTGAGTGCCCCCCACTGCTGACTGTCCCCCACTGCTTAATGACCCCTCAGCTCCTGGCTGCCCCCCACTGCTGACTGTCCCCCCACTGCTTAATGCCCCTTCAACTCCTGGCTGTCCCCCACTGCTGACTGACCCCCCACTAGTGACTGTCCCCCACTCCTGAGTGTCCCCCCACTGCTTACTGCCCCCCACTCCTGAGTGTCCCCCCACTGCTGACTGACCCCCCACTCCTGAGCGCCCCTCCACTGCTGACTGACCCCCACTGCTGA